CTGAGCGGAATGAAGATTTATGCTTAAGAATTGGTGTTAAACAGGGTGGATGTTTTGGCATGTCTTACACAATGGAGTTTGAGAATAGAGGAAACCAGAGACTAGATGATTCCATTATTGAATACAATGGTTTTGTTATTGGTAAGCCTTTATCTTCCTGTTTGCTTTCTTGTTGAGGTTTAAGTATGAATCGATAATGGGCATTTGGATTTATATTTCTTTCTTGATGACAAATCTTCATTTTCTTTCACCATTTATATTCAAATTTCAGAACAATCCAAAATGGCCATGGTCATCATCCAAAATGGCTATTTTTCCCAAGAACACAAAGAATAATTTCATAATCATCATCAACAACAATAACTAAAAAAAAAAAATTGCAGACCTAGAAAAAAAGAAAAGAAAAAAACGGAGAGAGAGAGAAAGAAGCAAAACACAAAGAATACAAAAAATAAACCATCTGTGAGAATCAAAGAGAAAGATCAACAACAATAACTAAAAAAAAAAAAAAAATTGCAGACCCAGGAAAGAAGAAAAAAAAAACGGAGAGAGAGAGAAAGAAGCAAAAACACAAAGAATACAAAAAAATAAACCATCTGTGAGAATCAGAGAGAAAGATCAACAACAATAACTTTAAAAAAAAAATGCAGACCCAGAAAAAAAGGAAAAAAAAGTTGAGAGAGAGAGAAAGAGGCAAAAACACAAAGAATACAAAAAAATAAACCCAAGAACTAATGTAAATGAGATCTACAAACCCAATCAACATAAATGAGCTTCACTAAAACTGATATAAACCCAAGAAATCTGTGCTTTCTTCGTTCTTCTCCTTCTCCTCTTTCTTCCTCCGCTTTTTTCTTTCCCTCTTTCTCTCTGATTCTGTGCTTTCGTTTTCTTTTTTTTTTGAAATTTTCCCCAAAACGACGTCGTTTTGGGGGTGTCGCAGGGACCGCCGCAAGTAAAGGTAGCTGAGGATCTAGACTCATTATTTCCCCTATCTCGTGTTACCAATAATGGTGCAAGTGTGTATTCAAGCAAGAATTGAGACCCATAACACATAGTTTAGTTCTCACTTCCCTATCTGACTTGTACTCAAATAATGTCTTATTTTTTAATCTGATTTTATTCAGACGCTTTCTAAGGGGTTGTTTGGGATGTTCTAAATAAGTGTACTTTTTGACTTTTCTTACTAAAAAGTTAAGGAAAAAAAAGATGGTTGTTTGGGTTAACTTTTTGACTTTTTATTAAAAAATGTGTATTAAAAAATTGTATAAATTAGTGTGTAGGAAAAGTTAGGGAGAGTAGGCAGTACGGCTCATACCGTTTGGACAGGGTGATTTGATATAAGAAATGATTGCCTCATTTTCGGGCATTGCATTAGACAGTGTTGTTCGGCCCGTGAAGGCCCACCACGGGTCCTGTTTTACTAATCAGAACCGTTCAATGTGTAAAACTCGTCGAGTACTATATGCTTGTAAAAAATCACGTTGATTAAATATCGATAACTATCTGATCAAATTAGTTTTTTTTTCAACTGTTAATTATAACACCATCTTTTTTTATACAAAACTGATTTGATCATGTAGTTAGCGATATTTGATCAATGTGATTTTAACAGACATATAATACTCGATGAGTTCTACACATTGTATGGTTCAGATTATCAAAACGGGACCCATGATGGACCCCCACGGGCCAAACAACACCGTGTTATTTGTGCACCCCACCTGTGCAATTTTTCTTAAAAAATCAGCAAAAGTCTATGGGACGTCAGACTGAGTTATAATAATTTTTGTATAAAATTAATTTTTTTATTTTTTTGTAAATAATAATAATTTTTTAATATTTTTAGTAATTTTTTATCATTTTAAATTATTTGAATTATGTCAAACCAAGCGTAAGTGCGTGCATATGAACGAAACACCTATTTTAATTGATTTAAACTAGTGAGGCCTATCATGCCAGGTGAAATCATTACAGTGTTTAGGAAAATATTTACATATTTAAACTTATCATATTTTATGCATTGCTTAGCCACTAGGGGTGCGTTTGTTTGGACGGACTGGATAAGGGGGGATTGTAATCCATCGGACTATTAGTCCTGGGATACATTGTCCCTGGATTATTTGGTCGGACTAGATTTGTATCCTATGTTTGTTTAATCATGGGATTAGAGGTCTGGATTGGACTATTCTATTGAATCCCATGTTTGTTTGGGATATTATGGAGAAGGATAAATGTTCAAAAGACTATTTTGCCCTTTTGAATTATTTACTAAATAATAAGAATATTAAATCTAAATTATAAATTTTATTTAATTTGTTTACTATAACTTTTAAAATATTAAATAAATAGAATATTAATAAATATTACATAAATTTATTTTAATTTGTAATTGAGATGTTTAATTTTTTTTTTACTTTATTAAGTATAATTAATACCATGAATGCACCAAATATTAAATTTTTTTGGCTTCATGCGTAATTCTAGTAGATCAAGACAAGGTAGCAATTGTGATAACAACATAACAAAGTTCTTGACTTCATGCGTCACAGATTTTGTTGACTTCATGCCTAATTCTACCTTGTCATTCTAATTTTTTCAAGTGTTCAACTAAACATCTAGCTAGATTTTTAGTGTAGCTAGATTTTTGTATAAAAAGAATATATATCACAATCCTTGATATAAAAAATCACAATTTTATTATCATAAAAAATCAAATGATAACCTCAAAGCAAAAAAATCTGAAAACACAATTTGTGAACACCCTTACATACAAAAATCAACCTATATATTGCTTTGTTATGTTATTATCAGAATTTTTTTGCTTTGCCATAACCAGAAATCTGGAAACACAATACAAAGCCAACCATAGAAAGGCAATATATACAATTTTACTTTCATACAGAGTAAAATTTTACTTTCATACAGAGTAAAATTTTACTTTTAGTTTCAGAATGTAAAATTTTTCTTTTATGCAGAGTAAAATTTTACTTTCATACAGAGTAAAGTTTTACTTTCATACAGAGTAAAATTTTACTTTTAGTTTCAGAATGTAAAATTTTACTTTTATACAGAGTAAAATTTTACTTTCATACAGAGTAAAGTTTTACTTTCAAATGCACACCCATGTAAATCTCCAAATCTTATCAAATTTCAAACACATTCAGTGGTTCCTACATGGAGATATAAACTGTGTTTACATTCTCTTTTCATAGAGCTCATACTCATTCCAAATGCCTATACTAATGTTAGCCAACACGTATTCATGCTGTCAATAATACACCTCACATTGAGCTTCCTAAGGAAGTCTTAAGTTTACAGATCTGGAAAAAAAAAAATCTGGAATAACTAAAAGATCGAAAAATCTGGAAAAAATTTGGAAAAAATCTGCTGAAAATAAATAGCATGAAGTTGCTGAAAATTAATAGAATGAAGCTCAGCAAAAAATAAATAGAATGAGTTTCAAACCTGAATGAAGATCGGATGCCAAGGTTCAACAGATCGAAGATTCAAGATGAAATGAAGCTCTTGCTCCTACATCTGCTGCAGTGAAAGCAAAATGGGAAAAGCTAAAAGAAAGATGAGAGGGTCAAAGATGTAATAAAGCTAGCCAATTCCATGGGATACATTATCCCATAGATTCTGTCCCAGCCCCCCAGGGATACAATAAGCCAGTGAATTCCGAATTAATAGTCCGGAGGGATTATTAATCCGGACCAAAAAATCCATACCAAACGACGGACTATTAATCCCTCCGGATTAATAATCCAATCCCATGAGTTATCCTTCAAAACAAACGAGCTGTAAGGGTTTGCTTGACATAAGAAAAAAGATAAAAAATTATTAAAAAATCAAAAAATTATTATTATTTATAAAAAAAATATAAAAAATAAATTTATAAAAAAAATATAAGTCAAAAAGTGTATTGAAGTGATGTGTTGTTTGCAGTGTTGCTGATATACATTAGGCAGTCGAATGCACTTCTCATGATACACAGAATAATGCTGTTCGGCCTGTGGAGGCCCATTACGGGTCCCATTTTAATAATCTGAACTATTCAATAATGTGTTATCAGTTTTTTTGATTTTTTAGTTATTTTAATCATAAAAAGACAGAATAGGCTTTTTAACTCAATAAGATAAAATATTACATCCAATTCATAATCATTTTATTTTTTCTCTTATAAAATTCAAAAAATCTATTCCAAACGAAACTTTTTAACTTGAGAATAAAATAGTCAAAAAAAAAATAAAAAATCAACTTACATTCCAAACCAATCCCAAAAAAATGTGCGAACAAGTTCATTCTTCTCATTTCCTTCATGGTATTAATGATTGAAAGGCTTGTATGTATAATATTACAATGGAAAATGTTTGAGGGCCACAAAATCAGTGGCTCAAATGGCTCAAAACTGTCAAAACGACGTCGTTTTGCGTTGTTTTACATCCAAAACGACGTCGTTTTGACAGTTTTGAGCCATTTGAGCCACTGTTTTTGTGGCCCTCTAGCATTGCCGTATTACAATATATCATACATACAATTTTTATTACAGGATTAAATGTGCGAACAAGTTCATTCTTCTCATTTCCTTCATGGTATTAATGATTGAAAGGCTTGTATGTATACTATGACAATATATCATACATACAATTTTTATTACAGGATTAAATTTCATGGTAAATAATGTTTTTAACAGCTCGTATGAGAATATATTATTTTAATAATTTTTTAATTAAAATATTATGTAAAAAAAATTAGTATGATTAATATGTTGGGAATAATTTTTTACAAAAAAATGTGTAAAAAAATAAAAATAAATCCTTAACTTTTTAATATAAATTATTAATTTTTTAATTATTTTAATAGGTTTTTGATTTTTTAACTAACATCACCACTTGCCAAATGAGAATTAAATCAAATAATTATTCAATAATTTTATTTAAACACTTTCTTTTTCCTTTTTTCTTTCTTTCTCAGCGAGTACTAATGCATCGTCGTAGGTGTAGTGTCGTTCCTTTTTAAATTCCAAGAAATCCCCAAAATTTGTCTCAGTGAACTAGGGTTAGGGTTTTAGTTTTGAGAGAAAAGCATCCCTCTTTCTCTCTCTCTCTCTCTTTCTTCAGTTCCATTTCCATGGCGTCGACGGCACCACCACCACCACAGCAGGAGCAACAAGCAAGCGGCGGCGGCGGTTCGGTTGCGAAGCCAGGAATGAGGAAGCCGGTGTTCGTGAGGGTGGATCAGCTGAAACCAGGAACCAACGGTCACACTCTCATCGTGAAGGTAGTCACTGCTAACACCGTCTTGCAGAAGAAAGGCCGCAACTCTCAGCTCCTCAGCCGCGGCTCCGCCGGCCAAACTCGTATCTCTGAGTGCCTCGTTGGTGACGATACCGGCTCCATTCTCTTCACTGCCCGTAACGATCAAGGTCCTCTCTCTCTCTCTCTGTATTCTGTTTGTTTGATCACCGAGCAGACACTGAGAATTCATAAAAATTTGTTTTTTTTTTTTTGTATGAAAATTAATCGGTTATTTTTTATGGTAAACTACCAATAGGTTTGTATTGAAAATAAAACTTAATAAAATTGTTGCTAAAAATAATTTTTTGTGATGATTTTTTACCTGTCCTTAAAAATTGACAAGGACAATTAGTGACTTTTTGTTTAACGTTTTTTTTGTTTGTGTGTAAATTATCGCTAAAACTTACAATTAGTTTTCTGTTGTCAATTTTTCAAACTGTCCCTGAAAGTAGAAAATTAGTGACTTTTTTTGTAACGATTTTTTAAACTGTTGTTAAAACTTGTAATTAGTGACATTTTTTTGTAACATTTTTCAAACGGTGTTGAAAGTTAACAATTAGTGTCTTTTGTGATAGAAAAATGCCATTAATTCTCACACGACCTATAGAATAATAAGGCCATCTATGAGGACCTATACCTAGTCCCCTATTTTTGACCCCAAAAAATGTAGATGAAGAGAAGAAAATGTAAGAATTTATAAAAAATTGAAATGTGAAATAAAAAAAGTGAGGCATTTGCAAGGGAATTTGGGAATGAAAAAGCAAGGAAGCTTCAGTGTTGTAGGCTTTATATAATATACTTGAATGAAAGACAGTTGTAACCATCATTTGATATATATAGAGGCTGAATGTAAATGGAAAGAAAATAGCTGAAAAAGAAAATTTTGAAATTGCATTTATATATGTAAGGGTAATTTGGGCATACAAAGTGCGTGACGTAGCTTTGTTAATTGAGTTGTGTCTTTATTAGATATTAGAATACTAGATATGGTGGTGCATATGATCGTTTTCTTTCATAGAAATAAGATTGTGAAGTGTATCATTGAATTCAAGATCTAAAAATTAAAACATTTTATGAATCTAAAATGACCAAAAATTGAGAGATTTGAAAAACAGAAGGAAAAAAAGAAGAAGGAAAAACCTGAATTTAGGGCATAATTATCCACATTATTGCTGTTGGGGTATTTTTGGAAAAACCCAAAAATTGGGACATCAATAGCAACTCAAGAGTTTGGCTTTATATAATACTATAGATAGTATAGCTAGTATATATATATATATATATATGTATGTATTTGAATTGGGTAATTACAAAAGAAGGAAGAAGGGTAGTTTAGTAATTAAAAAAGAATATGACATTCATACTGACTCAAGTGTTTGTATTATATAATAGAACTAGCGTATGCTCGTGCCTGAAGGCATGGTATAAATAATATAAAGATTATAATATAATTATAATCCCAACACTATTTAAATTTATTTTTTAATTAGATAAAATTACAAATTTATTATAAAATTTTGGAGTTCTCACAAAACTACTCACGAAAACTCGCTTTTGCTTACATAATATATAGCTAGATAGATAGATGTGCCTAGCATACATACAATTTCTACGAGCATACATACAATACTACTTTTACTTATATAATTATATGAAAATTGTATGTATGTCTGCAATGCCCTAGTATATTACGGGCATACATACATTGTATGAAAATATGTGAAAAATATATTGAACAAAAATGAGAAAAAAAATAGAGAGAAAAATAAAAACGGGAGAAAATAAAAAAATAAAAAGAAAAGAGAGAGGAAGGCGGGATTATGGGAGGGGTGTGAGAAAAGAAAAAAGTAAGAGAGAAAGAGAAACAGGAAAGTATACATTTGTAGAACATTTTTTGGAAAATATATCTCAGCTATTGTTGTATAATTTGAATAGATCTGAGCCGTCCAAATGTTCTAGTAGGACAAATATGTGTAGGACAAATTCAAAAATCATCTTGCTTTATTATATAGATGTTGAAGATTTATATGAGGTCTAAATTTACGAAGTCTATCAGGTATTCAATATATTTAAAAATAATAATTAATTGTTCAAATTCATTTAATTTGTGGACTAAAAAATTCATTAATATAATCTCCACTACACATGGTAAAATCTGGCTTCTAATTCTGAGATCGCAGACTTTTCTATATAATATGAATAAAAATAAGTGAACAAAAAGGAGAAAATAAAAATAAAAAAAAATAGAGAGAAAAATAAAAATAGGAGAAAATAAAAAAATAAAAAGAAAAGGGAGAGGAAGGCGGGATCATGGGATCATAGAAGGATGGATGAGAAAAGGAAAAAGTAAGAGAGAAGCGGGAAAATAGAAAATGTACATGTAAGATATTTTTTGAAAAATATATCTCAGCCGTTGTTTTATAATTTGAATAGATCTGAGCCGTCCAAATGTCTTAGTAGGACAAATGTGTGTAGGACAAATTCAAAAATCATCCTGCTTTATTTTATAGATAGGTAGATAAATGGTGTTTTATTGACCAACAACATAGCGTAATCGTGGTTATGTCTTTGATCCATAGTTTACATCCACATTTCGATATTGATTGATTTTTAGGTACAAATTGAAGTTATCAAGAAAAAGTGATTTTGAATAATGTTGTGTTCAGTTTTGTTTTGGAGGTTCAATGTGTCCGGTAATGTAAATTGTGGTGGCGACATAACCCTTTGATGAAGTTGAAAATTTACTATACTAATATTTAGTTACCAAAATGAGCACTACGTGTTTAAATGCAATTTGCATATACGGTGCTCAATCGATCATCACATTTGATTTGCTTTTGCGTGTAATTATGACTTATCAATGTTTTTGCAGCATTGACAACAATGTTAACAGCCCTTTTGTTCTTGAAATAACTAAACCAAACCAAAACAAACTAAAACTCTTGTCTCAATCAAGTAGAGTCGGTTACATGAAATATTTTTTGCCTTTCTATTCTGTCGAGGGCTACATGAATGCTTTAATCGAGTAAAACCATTTCTGTTATTTCCTCATTTCTACTAGCAATTGATATGGATTTTGTAAATCATAGGCTTGTGCTAATCATAGATTTCGTAAATCATTTTGTCATTTCGTAAACTCGTGTCCAATCAAGTAGGCTTTCCTCAACTGTAAATCATGATTTTGTAAACCATTTCCGTGCTTTGCTATCGATGCTCTTGACCATGCTAGAACCAACATTACAATAGTTTCATCAGTGCACGACCTACAACTCTCTCTCTCTCTCTCTCGCTCTCGATAAATTCACTACGTGCTTCTGTCGTCACCCTCTTCAATTACCCCACCTTTTTTTTTTCCCCCTCTCTCTTTAATCTTCTATCTACACCCTTAATTTTAACTCCCCATCAGCCCAATTGGTCTGCATTTTCTTATATTTGAACCTCAAATTTACGTTTTTTGTTCCAAACATGATAGGTACAACTCAGTTGTTTTTCTTCAAAGAGACGTATGTATATTGCAATATATATACAATGGTTATAGGAGTCTCAGTAATTGTGTAGAATTCAGAGGTGGGAGGTGGGTTTGGGCAGTGGGCCTAAGTTGTAAGTTGGTTGTGATGATTGGTGGTCATGCTGCAATAGTGGTTTAAAGGGATTGGAAGCAGATTTGGTCCACAGTCGCTAAGGTTCTCGATTTGACAATGTCCGTTTATCTGGTTTGTGTGCTTCTGCAGATGATGAGGTGGTGGTGAAGGGAAGTTTTGGTAATTGTTATCTATGGGGTGAGTTAAGAGTGCGTTGACTCAATAACCTAATGGTTGGGATTGATTGAGGATAGACATATGAATTGTCACGTCCATTAACCAATGTCCCTGACAGGGGGAAGTGTTATTTTGTAAATTGAGGGGGTGTTTTGGTAATTGTTGGAAACTTGAGGATGTCAATATAATTTTCCCCTGCACAAAGATGGTAGGCAAATATGCATAGTGTGCTGCAGTGTGTGAGTGGCAATGTGAGATTCTTGTTGTTCAACCCTTTGATATGTTTTATTCTTTGTGATTGAGCTTGTCATCATTAATTCAATTCGTGATAATTGTGTTGAAAACATTTGTAAGTTCCGTTATGTTTAACTACTTAGATTTGATGCCCCATGAACTAAAATTGGCTTCCAAATTCTTTTTGGAGCTTCTGTTATGAGTAGTATTCTGTGGTTATAAATTTTTGTTTTACATTATTCTCCCAAAAATTTCCTTTGGAGGTTCTGTTATCTGTAGCATTCTGTGGTTGGTTGTGAACAACTTTTGCATCGTTCTTAGCATTTTGAACCACATCTTATGTCAAATTTGCGTATTGATCTTTGGTTTTCTTAGTTTGCTACGAGCCTTCTACACCAGAATTATCCAATGATTCTTGTTTTTTTGGTTGCATGTGATATATATATATATATATTTGTCACAAGTGCGTGAGTAGTGTGGAAATATTGTCTGACACATAAGTTCTCTATTGATTGGGATGTTTGTATAGTTTCCGGCATTTCTCTTACATGTTTGCTGAATATCTAGTTTCCTTTTCAAGAAAAATTGGAAAAGCCTCCATTGGAAGTCATTTGCTTTTTACTATTTTGTTGTATGGTGATGACGGGCTCTTCCTCCCCTTGACATTGGCTTTGTCTTCTTTGCAGTCGACCTGATGAAACCGGGCGCCACCGTCATTCTTCGCAATGCAAAGATTGACATGTTTAAAGGATCTATGAGGCTAGCTGTTGACAAATGGGGCCGCATTGAGGTTACTGAGCCAGCAAAGTTTGTGGTTAAAGAGGATAATAACCTGTCTCTAGTTGAGTATGAATTGGTCAATGTTGTTGAAGAATGATTCTTGGAAGTTGGTGTTTTTGGTATCTAAGTATTTTATGAAGTTTGGCCATTGTTTTTACAGTCTTCCATCACCATGGGATGCAACTTAGGTACATTTTTCTTTTTTCTGACAGATGGTTTTGGTATACAGATATCTGTAGAATCATAGTTGCTCTGCCTTTTGTGTGACGATCTTAGCATGTAGTAGGAACCAATGTCGGTTTCTGTAGTTGGTGTGCAAAAAGGATTGTGCATTTTGCTAAAAAAAACCTGTCTTTATGTGCTATGAATCGTTAAAATATATGTTAAAGCTTTTGGGTCTAAATGTTTGCAAATGATGGTATGTGCTATCTTTTATTTTGGCCTTATTTTTTTCTTTTTTTTTTTCAATATGCAATTTGCCTTAAAATTTGAGTAGAGTGGATGATGGCTCTTTTTGTTTCACTGGTATCCAAATTCAAAATTTCACTAGTATCCAAATTCAAATGTACTGAAATTTTCTTTGGTGGCAACCAAAGTGACCGGGATGACCATTGGCCATTTTATAGCCAATTTATTGAGCTGGTGGTGCTTTTGAGTTTGGGTCTTGTTAACATGTAAGAAACTAATAAATGATGTTTAATTTCCTCCACTTGTATAAAAAATATAAATGTAGAAGAGAAATTAATTATGATGTTTTTGAAGAGTTATTTATTTATTTATTTTCATATGGACACAAGTATCCCTATTTTTACAAGATAAAATTTCTTTAACTATTATTGCATATGATAATTTTTTTTAAAAAAAAATATCCTATATATATTTTTTTACACGGTCCTAACATGGTGAGAATTCCACCAACATTTATGAAGGTAGTCTTGAAAAATTTTTAGTTTTAAAATATTTTTGTGCATTCCAATAATGGAATGTTCACTGCATTAAACAAAGTAATGCACAAGGACACAAAGCCATCTGTGCGTGTTCCTTCACAAACAACACTGAAAGCCAGGAAAAACAATCAAGAGCGACAATTTTAACCAAACTTGGACTATTAACTAGAACCAAAACCTCCCTTGCACTATCTACCCTTGTTCGGGTTACAAACTCATCCAACCAACCTAACCCTGCTTAAAGCATGCATGGCAGCACAACCAGAACCAATTTTAGGTAGTGGGAAAGAAATATTGCAAAGCTAAACAAGAGTTCCATGAAGCAAAACTACGAATACTTGATTTTTAGAGAGAGAGAGAGAGAGAGAGAGAGAGAAATATTATCCTTCTACATTATGGCACTACTTTCAGTTGATCAGAGCTTAAACCTTTGGATTTCAAATGAATCAAGCAGAATAACGCCTGGAGCAGAGCCTTACAATGCCCATTGATATCCATGAAAACTACGATCAAATGCAGCATCCCAACAAACTAACATTCATCCATCTACAATACAAGAACAAAAGAATATATACTTATGGAGGCTTTTAGAAATGAACAACTAAATAACACACAGCCACAATTAGAAGTCAGAAAGCGGTGTGATAAAAATAAGAAATAAATTCCATTGTACGATGCTATATGTGTCATTAACATTTAAAAATAAATAAACTTCTACTGCAAAGTAATCAATAACGGAAGCAAGATGAAATTAGAATCCCCAACCCAAAGTCAGGCAACTAGTGATTTGATTGACCAACAAAGAAAAACTCATTTAGCCTAATTTTAATGAGACCTAACAATCTTGTATCATGTCCCCAACCCAAACTCAATGAGACGTAACAGATCTTATGTAGATGACTTGATCTACCTTACTTATCAATTCTTGGTGTACCCTACCTTTCTATTAGAACCTCATCTTAGAATGACAAAATGCTAATCCTATGACATAAGCGTTCCACGTCAACCTTAGTTACAACAGCGTAATTTTCTACAGTAGACTAATCCTATAATCTTAGGATGGACAAATACGGCCATTTTATTATTTTCTTTTCCTTCAAGCGATTGGGTGGGCATTTAACCATTCTCTTTTCCTTTTCAGGCAATTGCGTCAAAGGACATTTGACTTAATCACCCAGCATTCTATACAAAATAGTGTAATTAGCCCATAAAACACAGCCACAGATTTAAATTTCACATCCAGGAGGAAGAACTACAGAGTTTCACATTCTCAATACTGTAATACCACGATTGTAACTAAGTATAGCCTCTTCTTACAGAAAATTATATTACAAAGCACACCAAATTGCAGAAAGTAGAAGAAAGATGGTTACAACTGTCAGAACTTATCATACATCCCAGTTCCACCATCAGTCAGAACATCTTAAGAGGTAATGGTGAATTTCAGTAAATGACACAAGCAGGATACAATTGACTTAAGGCTAGATTTGATGTCTCCAATTATATGGCATTCACAAGTTAAGAGCTCAAAGTTTGGAGTTCCCAGACAAACCATAGCCTACATTGTAAATTGGTTATCAGGGTTATGCTTGGGTTTTAGTTTCTCTCTGGTTGCCAAAGAGATCATCGTTATTTGTTCCATAATTGGATATATTAGTATTATATAATTTTCCTGCTGCCTCCACTTTAGTTCATGGTGTTACATTAGTTATCCACCAGAGTTCCATTTAAATAAACATCATTATGGGCATAATGCCATTACATTGTCCAAACAACCTACGCAATAAATGGCCATAAACAAAATGCATTCTCTATTGCTGCAAGAAAGACAATAAATCATAACAAAACTAGAAATAAGTGAAACCAGAACAATCAAAATACATAAGCGCTTTAATAAAGGGTAGGCATATTTAGAGAGTAGAAGCTATTTGATGAGGGAAGATCATGATTATCATATTTGATGGAAAATATATATATATATATATATATATATATTAATAATAACATCCATTATCTTACTATCTGAAAGAAGAAGATCAAGTCAATTATGGCACAAAACAAGACATTGAATGTTCATAGGAGGGTACTTGTTTTACAGTTTATATATGTGCCACAGAGATATAGGATTTTCATTGCAACGATTATGCCTTTTGGAAAAGGATAGCACTTTGAACTGTGATGATTAGCAGAACATCAGACAGTTTTAATTGCAATAACTGTTAAACAGTAATATAATCATAGAAATGACATAAGTAATACCACATAATGAAGTCCACAATGAAGTTTTGAACATCAAACTCATCAAGCTGAATAGATCTCAGCATTTGCTAATTTACCTAAGTTCAAAAGTTCAAAAAACAAATATGGCAAAGGAATATTGCTTTTCTGAAGCTCATTACTCATAATCAGGCATTCTCTTAGAGAGCATGCACACAAAACTTTGCCCGAACCCTCCAACATCCATCATACATCATCTTTGCAATCTGATTAAGTACAACGTATCAGTATGATCCTTGTATGGTTATATTAACATGAATGTCAACAGAAAAAGAAAAAGGAAATTCTTGTTCATCTAGTCATTGTCCGTCAAGCGAACTAATTTTCATATCGTATGCCTTTTTAATGAATGCAAACCCATCAAGATTTAATAACAACCGCAGGATTCACACAGATATGCAAGTTATATGTTAGTAACGCAGGCAGAAATACTAACATCCATGCATCACACCCCCCTCCATAGTGGTGCAAACAAAAAAACAAAAAAACAAAAAAAGTATCAACTGGGATTTTGATAATTTCCCAATTTTAAATTATTAATTGTATATAGAATACATGGTGCAATAGTTTGAGTTACTTCTGTGATGATCACCCACTCAGAGAAATAGTATTCAAATTAAATCAAACAATAAAGAACCATTTAACAGAAGCTGCCATGTATCTCATTTCTAGACAAGAATAAAAGAGATACATGTAGGGGTGGGCGTCATGTCATGTTGGATTGTATTCATGTCATGTCTTTTCGGTAACCCAACCCATTTATTATTTCATGTTATCGTGCCATGCCAAGTCTGTGTCCGGTTCCGGTTTGTCTCGTGTTAATGTGTCATGTCAAAAAATTTCACCATTGGTTAAAAACTATGAAGCATGGACACTCCAAAATTAGTGCCGTGGCGGTGTCCGACACGGGGACACGCCGGGGACACGGGGACACGCCGGGGACACGTATGGGACACGCCAGATGGCGTGTCCCTTTAATTTAATGATTTTTTTGCAGGGGACACGGCAGGGACACGGCGGGGACACGGCATGGGACACGGCGGGGACACGGCAGGGCTATTTTTATTTTTATTTTTTTTAATTTAATTTTTTTTTTATTTTTTTAATCTTTTGCCTCTCTTATTTAGTGCTTTTGTGAAAAATATTGTTGAATGTTGAATGTTTTCCCCTTCTCGTCTTAGTTCTTGTTATCGTTTATTCTGACTTTTTTGTGAATTTTTGTGAATGGATGATCTATTAATTTGTTTAAATGTAATGGTTATGTTTATTCAATTAATGTTACTATGTTAGTGTTTGTTAATTTTAATTTACGATGAATGTAATATGAATCTACATAACACATAAAAATATATAAAATAAATAAAATAAAATTCGCCGTGTCCCCCGCCGTGTCCGTGTCCCCATTTTTTGAAAATTGCCGTGTACCGTGTCCGTATCCGTGTCCGTGTCCGTATCCGTGTCCGTGTCCGTGCTTCATAGGTTAAAAATATCAACTATATAAAAGAATTAAATTTTTCTCCTCAAGTTAAATTTAATGAAACTAATCTCTATTGAATGAAATTATTTATAAAAATATTTGAATTTAACGCAATTTTATTTTCCTAATTTAAAAAATCTATATCCTATTATTATTTTTTTTTACTAGATTAATTCAAATAGTATACAAAAAACACATTATCTTCAATTACCCTTAAAATCCTATTTTACCTACTTTTTAATAAATTAGATGGAATTACTTAAGAGATTTGAGTAGAAATAATATTAAAAGGTGCACCTAATTCTTTATTAAACGGGTTATCCATGTCAACTTCACGTTGTGTAGGTTTGACACTAAACTAACTTATTTAATATTTATGTTATCGAGTCGTGTCATATACGTGTTCAAGTCGGAAAATAGTCAACCCTAACCCGCTAACTTTGCATATGGTTCGAGTTGTGTTATTGCGTCGTGTCAAAAATTCCCACGCTTAGATACATGATTCAAAATAACAAGGCATAGAAACAATTTGAAGGTAAGTGAATACAAAGGTTCAACATTTGCAAGTTGGTCAATGATAGGCAGATTGAAAAGTCATGGTAACTAGTTTTTCTTATTCATGTATATATATATCTGCAATCACATACAAGTACCTATGCATTGAAAGAGACAATATCATGTTCATTGGCACATGCTATCACAATGATAAAAGATTAAACCCTTTGGAAATAAGTACACATTAGTTCCCGTTAAGCCTTATGCCTAGAACTATTATGGTTACGATCACTCACATAAATCTAGAAAAAGCTATTTTTCTATGCCACACCATAGTGGAAAACTATATTACAATGAGTTACTTGATAGTATGAACTCCACAAATTTTAAATATATATATATATATATTGGGGGAAGGGAATTACACAAGTATGATGCTTAGCAAGTATCTTTGACAAAAGTAATGTGAAGGCCTTCATGCTTTCTAGATCTCAAAGAAAAGGAACAGGGTAATTAAAATGCTATACCCTCTTAGCAACACTCTTATGAGTTACACATGCATCATGCATCTTTGCACTTGCACACAAGGAAACAATTAAACAAAGAGAACATAATACATAATTTACAAATATATAAAGAAGAACAAAAGAAGACGTCCATCTAGAAATTACAATGGATAAAAAGTCTGCTCCAAGTGGCGTATATATATATATTTTAAAAAACTAATCCCAAATCAAGAAGCTAATGCATGTCATAACCAGCATATCTTCTCATAGTCTCCATCAATTGTTTGAACATGCAAAGAAAAGAAGAATGAAGAGCAAGACAACACCATAATTTGAGTAGACAGAGGGGATTAAAAAAAAACAGCAGGTAATAAATTATTGTTTTAACAATTATGAGGTTCAAAGCCCAACGAATGATATAAAGGAAATGAGCCTAATGGGTCTTTCATGGTAAATGGTTTGAGTCCAAACGCTATGTTGAATGTGCAACCCACCCTGCACTTCATAGGTATCTATGCAAGTGAGGCGTTGATCGGTCCTAGAAGCAGTGGCGTGAGGAGTTAACGACCAGATGTGTTGCAACCTAGGGATCACCAGGTAATGCTATGTTGGTTAGCTTGGATGACTGATCCCGCCATAATGTGACCTATAGCACCGGTAACCAAAGTCGAGCATACATATGACAATCTCTGTGCTTGAATAGCCAGGAGGAAAGAAGCAGAAGTAGATGATAATGAGAGCGGGCGCTGCCACATCTGGACGTGCAAGCAGCATGGATGAGCGAAAGGTTCTATTCCATACCATGAAGTGGGGAGTATTCCGAGTCTACTGTAAGAAAACTAAATGGACTTCGAGGTTCCCCCCCAAGAACTGAATGGTGTAGTTTCTGGCCGTTACAAGTAACACAACACCTCCAGGCTCCAACTAATACACAAGCATTTTAAAATCCAAACAATTAATATCATCTAGCACTAATATTAGGGAACACTAAAAGATGTTACCTATAGAACTTTATTTATTTATTTTTAAAGTAACACAAGTACTACATGAAATAACATTGGGGGATTGTTTGATAAGAATACCATAAAATTTTACTGTCCATCATCAACATCATGAAATTATTTAAGAGTCTTGTTCCTCATCTGTTCTACAAACACAGTTTTCTCACTTAATCTAAGGCAGTGAACATTCACCAATACTCTCTCCATATTTGGTTGCATCAACTTCATCTAGTCTTGTCTTGCCCTACAAGAAGAAAAAGAATGCATAAGAATATGCATCCTTTATATATATATATATAGAGAGAGAGAGAGAGAGACATGGAGGGAGATGGGACACCTAGGAAAGAATACACATAGTGGGACTGGAGAAAATAAAAATTACAGGATATTAGCTTCAGAACCAACATTTCAGACCAGGGAATATGACAACCCCCACCCCCAAAAATAATCAAATAAATAGAGAGAACGAAAAAAAATAACGCCCAAAAAATGACATAAGCTACTAGTCTTAATTTCTTACTGACAGCCTGTATTTTTTTTGATCAGCTTACGGAAAGTCTGCATGATTAAACAAGTTGGAGAACATTAAGAAAATAATGCCAATTTTTTTGAAGAGTTGAAATACTTAAATTGGTAGTAAGATTCACTTTGTGTCTAATAGCATAGAAAGATTCACCACCAACCTATCCCATCCAAGGTGGGTTTTCCTCGACTCCATGCTATTTCCTTGAACAACCAACCTTATGAAGTGTGTATTTTTTTAACCAGTAAGAAGCTAGGACCATTCATGTTTTGTGCCTTAAAATGCTTAAATTAAACAAGCTAAATGGAGGAACTGAAGCGCAATGACACAATAGACAAGGAGTCATATGTTCAAGTTGAAGGCACTCTAAAGACAATAAAAGTTGGGATGGAATCTAAGGTGAAGCATAAGAAAACTACACAAGGCCCAAGATTTGACAAGAGATGAGTTTTGTTGTATTCAGTTAATTACAATAACAGGTCCATTCTAGAAATTTCATGTCAATACCAAATATATATTATGTCCCCAAAAATTAGTCTTCAAATTTCTACATGTACAGTATTAGGCTATCCAAATGTGAAAGTAAATGAGGCTATGATAGGATTAAACAAAATCTTTGTACTTGGGTATACATGCCTCTTAAACTTCTTCAAATGTGTTTTATGGAGAATCTCAATTTCATAAAACTGCTATAAACTGCTCAATTTCATAGAACCTTTCCACCTAATCTACAAATCTATCAGATACCAATTAATTCATAAAAATAAAATTAAAAAAAAAAAGAAAAGACAAATAGCAAGATCACCGTAGTTTAGTATACAAACCAAACCCAATCAGATAAAAATTCTAATAATTAAAATAAATCACGAAAACTTCATCGGCAAAATCATTGAATATTGTGCAATGCAATCAAAGCTAATACACCTAAACACATACATACATACATACATAAACAAGGTGAAAAAAATACCTTCAGGAGTCCAACCGTAGCAGCGAGGAGTGGCGGAGAGCATTGAAGTGAGCAATGCAGAGGCAGTGGCGGTGTGAAACGGAAGCAACGAATCGACGCAGACGAACCTCATCTCTACAGGAGACCTATTCAATAAATACAACATTTGATCGATTCAATTCAACAATTAATTTTTTTTTTTTCAATTATCATATATATAGATAGACAGACAGACAGATAGACAGATAGATATAGTATATGCAAGATTTGAAATTGATAAATAGAGAAACCTGAAAATGCGAGAAGAGAGCGGTTTCTGCGTCGGGATGCGAAAGGGGGACCTCGCCGCCTTGGGCTTAGCTCCGCCGGCAAGTCTCGCCACCGCGTTTCGGGTGGCGGAGGTGGAGCGGAAGACGGACCTGGCGGCGGCGGACATTGGTGGTTGTGGGTCTTTGAGAGCTGGGGGGGCGGGGTTTTGGAAGAGTTTGGGGGCTTTGGGTGGGTACTTGAGACCCACCCACAAACCCACCCACAAGACCTCCACAAGGTTCTCGTAAATTTGGATTATTTAGACGTGGACTCTGCGGGTCTGTTTGGTAGCACTTATGCTTTCAGTTTATATTTATAAAGATTTTATAAATTGATTTTTGTTTAGTTTTTGTTTATTTTAAAAAAAATATAAACTACAAACGCGTTTGGTAATTGACAAAATGTTTAAAAAAATTTAAAAATATAAAAAAGAATGAGAAATGGCAAGTGGTGGTAAGTGGCGGCGGAAGACGGTGGTAGAAAGTAGTGACGGTGGGTGGTGGGTAGTGGGTGGTGGTGAGTGGTGGCATGTGGGTGCTGGTGGTGGTGGGTGAGTGGGTGACGGTGGCGGGTGGTGGGTGGTAGCGAGTGGATGGTGGTGGTGGTGGCGGTGGTGGGGGGTGCGGTGACAGGTGGGTGGCGGATGGCGGGTGGTGGCGAGTAGGTGGTGGGTGGTAGCGAGTGGGTGGTGGTGGCAGGTGGGTGGCGAATGACGGGTGGTGGTGAGTGGTGATGGTGGGTAGATGGGTGATGATGGCGGGTGGTAGCGAGTGGATGGGGGGGGGGGTAGGTGGGTGAGGTCCATATAAAACGGCCAATAGCGAGTGGGTGGTGGTAACGTGTGGTGGTGGCAGGTGGGTGGCTGATGGCAGGTGGTGGTGGGTGATGGCGAGTAGGTGACGGGTGGTGGTGATGAGTGGGTGGGTGATGGTGGCAGGTGGGTGGCGGATGACGGATGACGGGTGGTGGTGGGTGGTGGGTGGGTAGGTGACAGTGGCGGGTAGTGGGGGGGAGCGGGGGGGGAGGGGGGGGCGGGGGAGAAAGGAGAGGAGAGAGAGAGAGAGAGAGAGAGAGAGAGAGAGAGAGAGAGAGGAGATGGAAGATAGAACAAAAGAGATGAGAGACTGATCTAGAATCACCGTATTAAAAAGGTATATTTTTTTCACATTTCACCTACCTTTTCCATTTCTTTTTTCAAATTCCTCTTTAAATCCCTCAACCAAACACAGCATAAGAGATTCGAGAATATATGACAGGGTATTGTCAATATTTAAACTGAAAATTCAAAACGGAAACACATTTTTTGATCAAATTTATAAACTGAGACCACTGATTTATAAATCAAAAATTTACCAAACAAGTTTTTATTTGAGTTTTTAAATTTTTTGTAAATATAAACAGAAAACTAAAAACGTAAGTGTTACCAAATGGCACCTACACATATATAAATGGTCAGGATCACTTTGAATGTATAGGGTTCATCCTTAAATGGGGTCTTAAATATTTTTCAAAATAAATACTGATTTTTAATACTGTTTTAATTCAATTTCCCAACAGACTCTGACAGAAATCCAACCTCCACCATCTCACTGATGTGGCAACTATTCCTGGGCATGTGAGTAAGAATTGCAGTGGAAGAAGGTGTGATACACGTACTTGTGAAAAAGAAAAAGAAAAAGAAAAAGAAAAAGAAAAAAACCAAAAATATAGCGGAAACCCAAATCTAAAATCCAATCTATCCCTCTTCTCTCATCCGTCTTCCCTTGTCGCCGCCATAGCTCTCCTTCGTTGATGGCCATAGCTTTTCGATAACTCTATCCATAGCTCTTCTCCGTCTCTGTCTCTCGATCTCCTCAATCTTCGGTTACTTCTCTTTCTCACGCGTGCTCTCAATCGTAGTTTCTCAGATAAACTTTTTCCCCCAAACTCTCTATTCATATCAGTTAGGGATTTATCAGTATAATCCATTACAAGTAAATCAAAATCTAGGCAATGACACTTGTATATATGATGATTTGGGCTTTTTGATGCTTTTGAAATTAATTTTAAAAAGATTTTGATGCTTTTGAATAAATTTTTGATGTGTTTGGGCATTGTGTTATAGCTTGTATATATGATGTGCCTTGTTTTTTGACTTTATAGAATATGCCATGAAAAATCAAAGTCCTATCTCTTGGATTGAATTTGGATGAATCTAAGAGTCCTATCTCTTGAGTTTTGCAGTTAAAATTCTACTTGGTTTGTTGGGCTACATATTATTATTTTTTTATTTGTTTCCAGTTTGCATTTACTTGTTTCTAGTTTGATACATTGTACATTGGTTTATAGTTTTTGAGTTTTCTGTTTAAAATTCTACTTGGTTTCCAATTAAAATTCTATTTGACATATTATTTGTTTTCCAATTAATAGTTGCTCATCATGGTTTTATTCCATCCTCCAACATTTTGAAATCAAGTAGTATATAATAATCATTCTGAAATCATTCTATTTTAATTTCAATATTGAAAGTGGAAGAATGGAGGTTGATTCAAATGGTAGTGACAATCCTTCAGTAAATTAAGGTGAAGAAGTTGAAGAACCTAATAAGGGTATATGTTTTAGCTTAAGGAAAGAACTGTACATTTTATGGCAAATATGCTAAGCATGTTGGATTTTCTATAGCTTATAGAGCATAACATTTTGGAGATGATGGGTAAGTAAAATACTTTGCAATTGAATGTTCTTGAGTGTGGGAGAGAAAAAAGAAATAAGAAGTCAACCCTCTAAAGCAATCTTTGTCCACAAAAATTGGTTGTAAAGCAAGGGTACGACCTAGTTTACAAAAGGATGTGAGATATATGTTAACTACAGTTAACCTTGAGCATAATCATGATTTGATTCCCACCGGCTCACGTTATTTTGCAATGAATGAGAAAATTCTTACTCCTGTGAAGAAAAGATTAGACATTAATGATCAAGCAGGGATTAGGGTGTCTAGGAACTATCATTCAATGGTTGTTAAAGCGGGGGATACAAGTCATTGGCATTTGATGAGCAAGATGCAATGAATTACATTGAGAGAGCTAGAATATTGAGGCTTCAATACCGAATCACTTCAAAGTTATTTTATGAGGATGCAAGCACATAGTGAGAGATTCTTTTATATGATTGATGTTGATAGGGAGTTTCACATTAGAAACTTGTTTTGGGCTGATGCAAGGAGTCGGACAACTTATGAAACATTTGGAAATGTTGTTTCATTTGACACAACTTATCTCACAAACAAAATGACATGCCATTTGCTTTATTTGTAGGAGTTAATCACCATGGACAGTCCATTTTGCTTGGTTGTGAATTGTTATCTAGTGAAGACACTAACACATTTGTTTGGCTATTCAAGTCGTGGTTAAGTTGCATGTTAGATCATCTCTAAAAACTATCATAACTGATCAGTGCAGAGCTATGCAAAATGCTATAGAAATTTTCTTTCCACAGGCTTGACATCGATGATGCTTATGGCATATAATGAATAAAATTTCGGAGAAGTTGAAAGGATATTCTCAATATGAACCCATAAAGTTGGCTATGCAAATACAGTTTATGACTGTTTGACAATAGATGAATTTGAGAATAAATGGGAAGAGATGCTTGCAAAATTCAATCTTCATGATAATGACTGGTTGGAGGTGCTATATGATAAGCAACATCGATATGTTCTTGTCTATGTTAAAGATATTTTTTGGGTTGGCATGTCAGTTACACAACGAAGTGAAAGCATAAATGCATTTTTTGATGGATATGTCAACCCAAAAATTTCATTAAAGCAATTTGTTGAACAATATGACAATACCTTGAGAAGTAAGGTAGAGAAAGAGAAGAAAGTAGACTTCAAGTCTTGACACAAAGTGTTTGATTGCCTAACTGTATATGGTTTTGAGAAACAATTTCAGCAAACCTATACCAATGCAAAATTCAAAGAAGTTCAAGGAGAGTTGGAGAGATTAGTTTAATGTCAAGCCTTGATTGTCAAAGAGGAGGGATCAATTTGTACATATAATGTCCAAGAAACAATGGTAGTTTCTGAGAAGATGAAGCATGTGGACTTTGTTGCCTATTTTAATTCAATTGAATGTGAAGTTAAATATATGTGTCAATCGTTTGAGTTTAGAGGCATTATGTGTGCTCACTCACGCGCTGTGCTTGTAAGAATGTGCATAAACGAGGTTCCAAATAAATACATTCTGTCACGATGGAGAAAAGATTTGGATAGAGAATACATATGCATCAAAACAACATACGTTGGCTTTGGGGATGATTTCAATGCAAGTTGCTATGAGAGGATGAACAAGAAATTGATTGGCATTGTACAAGTTACTGACAACTCTGAAGGCAAAATTAAAATTATAGACCTTGGCTTGGATGCAATCAAGGATAGAGTCATGAAAGATGAATCGGGTGATAAGAGTAATTTACCAATTTCTACTAATCATATACCATCTTCCCCAATTGCTTGTTCGATTGCCACCGATTCTACAAAAGGAGCTAGTACTAGAAAAGTGATTAGTCCTTTGGTTGCTCGACGAAGAGGCCGTCTATAGCTATCAAACGAAATATTGCCAAAGTAGATCAAACAGTGAATCAGTTCAAGGCAATAACCAAAAAAAAAAAAACAAAAAAAAAAAAAAAAAATACAAAAGCAAAGGTAAATTGTCTATTCAGCTTCTTTTTTTTTTTAACAAACTCTATTCAACTATATTAAAGTAATTCATAAATTTCAATCATTGATCATTCTTGATTATTATAGGTTGCTAAGGTGCTTCGATTTGAAGCTCAAGCTAGTGCATATACACCGTATTATCCTTATATGGTTGGCATGCAAAATAGTTTGTATGTGCCAGTACATGTTCATAAGATGACTTTATATCAATTACTTGTTTTCATTTAGAAATAATTTTTTTTAACATGTACTTTTAATTGAATTATCACAGGTGGTAAATATTATTGGAGGCACATCTCTTACCCCATAGGACTTTATATGAGGCACACCAGGAAGTTTGATGAGTGCTCCAACTCAAACTTTTGATCTGGATCTCTAACCCCATTGGGTTCTAACGCATGCACATCGGGAGTGATGGACATTATGGACCTAATGTCCTAGTTAATTGAACTTTTACAGTTTGTGTTTGAGATTGGAACTTATTATGAAGAAACTTTTACGTTATGTC